GTAATACAATATCTTTGCAGCCCACACAACCTCGTGCTGACGCCTCCCCCATTGGGACTATCCACTAAGAGGAACCTGAATATTTTACTTGGACGGTTTTAACTTTAATTTTAACATTAACGACCCGCTTTGTGGGTGATATTTTAAATGCAAATGGGATACCCGCACTCGGGGTACTGGATGTTGTTGTGTTTTACGCTCCGATACGTGTAACATCTTCCACAAAAAACTGTATATTGTGATTGTTGAGCAGTGCAAGTGTTTCCATGTTTTTGTTGTGGTTGCCTCTGATGATGGCTCTTTGTGAGCCGAAACATGTAAGGCAAATGTGAGAAAATGGTGACAAGAATATATATTGTTACACTCGACGGAGGTTCTAATGATAATTGGGGAAAAATGAACCAGTTTAGTGTTTTAACACTCAAAGAAGAGTTCCTAAAAATGTCTGTAAGTTTGCATACTGCATATGTTGTTGGAACACATCCAGGGGGAGGGGCAGTGGCTAGAAGAGCCAGCGAACATGTTAAAGTTACAAATGTTTTGAGTAAGAACTCAAAGTCTGACTGTTTCAAGGGCAGAGGGGCAACATTTAGTGCCATTGAAAGCATTTATTAAGAACAGAGCGTCAGAATGATGATGCCTGTTAAGCAGTGTCAAGGGCAGAGGGGCAACATTTAGTGCCATTGAAAGCATTTATTAAGAACAGAGCATCAGAATGATGATGCCTGTTATGCAGTGTCGGCAAATTTATCTTTCCAGTAAATTATCATAGTGATATTCCATATCTTGGAAAAATCCTTTGTGACAGAAGGTTCCAGATTTTCTTTATATGCTCTCAAGTTTATTGGAATCAGTAATTATAACAGAGTTCCAAGCAACAGAAACATATTTGAGTTTAGATCTGACCAAAGCAAAATATAAGATCAAAAGATTGACTAAGGTGGAAAAAGAAAATGTTATTGTGTGGATTAGCCCTGGTAATTTCACTGTATGTGAAAAAAGAAATTAACTTGATCTTGAAAATGACGTTTGCAATCAAAATGCACACTCAAATCCTTAATACAGTCTATTCATAATATAAAGGATGTTCTGAGTCTGAACTGATAATTCAGATCCTTCATCTTCCATGTGAGAGAGATGACTCTAATTCTACTGAAATTAGGCTTCACAAAATTTGCTGAACATCATTTATGTACAAGGTGCGACAGTTTAATTCCCAGAATGGGGGTCTTGAGTCAGGCAAACTCATGTACTGAAGCACGGTTGGACATGTTTCAACTTGCGTTTACATGAGCCGCAGACCTAATGAGTCATTCGCGTCCAAGCAGCAGAAGAAGTAGTACGTGTCCATGGTATATGGTTGGTGGAAAAATGAGTGACAGGAATCTGGAACAGTGGATAAACATCAATTTTTGTGTGAAGATTGGTAGAAGCGCTAGTGAAACGTTAACCCTATTAACAGTGGCTTATGGTGAATACGCTATGAAGAAATCTAGTGTTTTTGAATGGCATAGATGGTTCAAGGAAGGGCGAGAAGATGTGCAAGATGACTCAAGAAGTGGGCAGCCAAAAATGCAAAGGACAGATGCAAATGTGGACAGAGTATGAACCTTGGTATGCTAAGATCGAAGATTAGATATGAGACTAATAGCAGAAGGATTGAATATGAATAGGGAAACAGTGCAACAGATTATTATTTAGGATTTGGGAATGAGAAAAGTTTCCGCAAAGATGGTGCCATGAATCTTGACAGATGACCAGAAACAATGTCGGCCACACATTTCATCTGATCTTTTACACAGTTCAGAGATGTGTGATAGGGTCATTACTGGCAATGAAATGTGGTGTTTTCAATACGATCCAGAAACAAAACACCAGAGCATGCAATGGAAAAAACAGAATTTGGCTGAAAAAAGCACGAATGTCTTGCTCGCAATTCAAGACCATACTTTTGTGTTTCTTCGGACACAGGGGGATAGTTTACTATGAATTCATTGCACAAGGACAAACGGTGAATCACTAGTGTTATTTAAAGTGCTGACAAGGTTATGGTGATCTGTTTGGCATAAAAGACCCAAACTCTGGCCTGACAAGTGAATTCTCCACCGTGACAGTGCCCCTGAGCATGATGTATGAAGAGTTTGTGAGTTCCTAGTCACACCCTGTACACAATCAATATCTGACTGTAGAAGATAGCATTCACCAGGTGAACTAATTGCTCTATATATTTTAAGGTCATCTGAAAGAAGAAGACAGACGGAGTGATTAAGTACATCACATAAATCATTTATAGAAATATTAAAAATGAGAGACCCTGAAGATAATCCATATTTACTGGGTTTATGGTGAAGCAATGCATACAGAAGAGTGTCAAAAGCATTGCTAAAATCAGAATAGATAAGAGTCAGTTTGACCTAGATCACTAGGACTGGAAATCTTTTGCAGTGGAAGAGGAAGCTTTGTGCATTTGTCTCGTAAACCATTGTTTAGCCCTTGGGTTTCATAATATTGTGCTCTGGTGGAAGTGCACAATATCTTACATAATTTTTATTATTATTATTATTATTATTTTGAAGCGTTTCTTTGTTCCAGGTTTTGTAGGCCAGTACTTCTCAACCAGTGGGTTGTGCCCTACTGGTCTGACTTGGCCAATGGGGTGCAGTGTGAGGTCTCAATAATAAGAAATTTCGTTAATGATTAATGTAGTACTAAAGGTTACATGGTCATAAAAGAAACACTTACTATAAAGAAATGGGCTATATTTAATGTAGTGGACTGTGATTAAAAATAAAGAATTTAAGAATAAGTTTGCTAGATTACATTTATGTATTTTTATTGTTGTTGCAGGGTCAGTACATTGCATTAGAGAAACACTTCTTTAAAGAAATGAGCTTTTTTTAATGTAGTGGACTGTGATTAAAAATAAAGAATTTAAGAATAAGTTTGCTAGATTACATTTATGTATTTTTATTGTTGTTGCAGGGTCAGTACATTGCATTAGAGAAACACTTCTTTAAAGAAATGAGCTTTTTTTAATGTAGTGGACTGTGATTAAAAATAAAGAATTTAAGAATAAGTTTGCTAGATTACATTTATGTATTTTTATTGTTGTTGCAGGGTCAGTACATTGCATTAGAGAAACACTTCTTTAAAGAAATGAGCTTTTTTTAATGTAGTGGACTGTGATTAAAAATAAAGAATTTAAGAATAAGTTTGCTAGATTACATTTATGTATTTTTATTGTTGTTGCAGGGTCAGTACATTGCATTAGAGAAACACTTCTTTAAAGAAATGAGCTTTTTTTAATGTAGTGGACTGTGATTAAAAATAAAGAATTTAAGAATAAGTTTGCTAGATTACATTTATGTATTTTTATTGTTGTTGCAGGGTCAGTACATTGCATTAGAGAAACACTTCTTTAAAGAAATGAGCTTTTTTTAATGTAGTGGACTGTGATTAAAAATAAAGAATTTAAGAATAAGTTTGCTAGATTACATTTATGTATTTTTATTGTTGTTGCAGGGTCAGTACATTGCATTAGAGAAACACTTCTTTAAAGAAATGAGCTTTTTTTAATGTAGTGGACTGTGATTAAAAATAAAGAATTTAAGAATAAGTTTGCTAGATTACATTTATGTATTTTTATTGTTGTTGCAGGGTCAGTACATTGCATTAGAGAAACACTTCTTTAAAGAAATGAGCTTTTTTTAATGTAGTGGACTGTGATTAAAAATAAAGAATTTAAGAATAAGTTTGCTAGATTACATTTATGTATTTTTATTGTTGTTGCAGGGTCAGTACATTGCATTAGAGAAACACTTCTTTAAAGAAATGAGCTTTTTTTAATGTAGTGGACTGTGATTAAAAATAAAGAATTTAAGAATAAGTTTGCTAGATTACATTTATGTATTTTTATTGTTGTTGCAGGGTCAGTACATTGCATTAGAGAAACACTTCTTTAAAGAAATGAGCTTTTTTTAATGTAGTGGACTGTGATTAAAAATAAAGAATTTAAGAATAAGTTTGCTAGATTACATTTATGTATTTTTATTGTTGTTGCAGGGTCAGTACATTGCATTAGAGAAACACTTCTTTAAAGAAATGAGCTTTTTTTAATGTAGTGGACTGTGATTAAAAATAAAGAATTTAAGAATAAGTTTGCTAGATTACATTTATGTATTTTTATTGTTGTTGCAGGGTCAGTACATTGCATTAGAGAAACACTTCTTTAAAGAAATGAGCTTTTTTTAATGTAGTGGACTGTGATTAAAAATAAAGAATTTAAGAATAAGTTTGCTAGATTACATTTATGTATTTTTATTGTTGTTGCAGGGTCAGTACATTGCATTAGAGAAACACTTCTTTAAAGAAATGAGCTTTTTTTAATGTAGTGGACTGTGATTAAAAATAAAGAATTTAAGAATAAGTTTGCTAGATTACATTTATGTATTTTTATTGTTGTTGCAGGGTCAGTACATTGCATTAGAGAAACACTTCTTTAAAGAAATGAGCTTTTTTTAATGTAGTGGACTGTGATTAAAAATAAAGAATTTAAGAATAAGTTTGCTAGATTACATTTATGTATTTTTATTGTTGTTGCAGGGTCAGTACATTGCATTAGAGAAACACTTCTTTAAAGAAATGAGCTTTTTTTAATGTAGTGGACTGTGATTAAAAATAAAGAATTTAAGAATAAGTTTGCTAGATTACATTTATGTATTTTTATTGTTGTTGCAGGGTCAGTACATTGCATTAGAGAAGAAATATTGTAAAGCAAAGAAGTTGCTAAGAGAGTTCCAGCAGAGAGAACAGGATCTCTTGCACCGCGAAGAGTTCTACCTTCAGCTCCTGCAAGAGAAGGACACAGAGTACAATGCCCTTGTCAAAACTCTTAAGGATAGGGTAGGTTAACACTGTTCTGAAGTATAGCATTGCATTGCTGAATTCATTGTATTGACTTGATTCTAATGTGTTCTTTTCACAACGTACACAAACGATTAGACAAATTTATACATGTTTGTCCATGTTTCTTCTCTGTATATAAAAAAGGTAAAACTAGCCCTGTAACAGGCTGTGGAAGCCCATAGGGTTGTGGGATGTCAAGGCTCCATACATTCTTAATCTGGGCACTAGGTGGGTGGTGAGTGGTCAGCTTTACCCTGTTGCCACTTTTCCTCAGATACCTGTTGGGTAGGAAGGTCGTTGGGCATCAGAGCCAGTCTGGAAACTGGAGAGAAAAGAAATTCTCTGCCACTGCTGGATATTGAACAGTTTCAAAATATGCATTGTGAATACATTTGCAACATTATACAGTAGAACCCCCATTTAATGTTCCTCAGTCTAAGGTTCCCTTTCATTTAATTCTCAATATCTGGAGACAGGGACTAGCTCCATTGATTGAGCCCAACCAAAGAGGCTTTCACCTGAAGATGGAGACAGAGTCCCATCTCCCAAAACCTCGTTTTTAAGTAAAAAAGAATGGATGATGAGTAATGTCCAAAAATTGAATAATTATAGTTTGATCTTATGGTCTCCAATAACCACATGTTTAAGTACCTCTAATCCCATTCCTGCTAATTCATTTTTTTAGGCTTTTTTTTTCCCCCCGGTTTCTTGAGACTATCCAGTATAAATACAATGACTGGAGTTGAAGTGAGTGTATTTATCTTTCTTAGGTGATACAACTGGAGCAGGAACTGCTGGAAACACAGCGTAAAGCTGGATTTCCTGCAGTTCTTCCATATGATAGCTCAAGTCTGCGTCAGTTGACACCTCAGTTGTCTCGCAGACAACAGGCCCTCCCTGTGAAACCCCTTCTCGAACAGCTGGAGACAGAACTCTCAGACACAGAGATATCTGACATCAGTCCAGAGGATGGTGATAAAACTGCTACTGTAGAGCGGAAGGTTAGTCACCTAATCTTTGTTTTGTGATGTTTATTGAAACTCAGTTTAAGTTTAAGTTCGTAAACACTTCTGACACCAAATTGTCACGTGTTGGGTGTATAATGTGACAAATAACTTCATGCTGTTCTTGATATAGCGAATTTATTGCATATTTGCTCTTACATTTACTCAATTTATAATCTCACAACTACTGCCATCGGCAGTATCACAATTACATCCACTGCTCTTGGCGACTGCTAGACTTCTGCTGCAATTAGCGACTTCACGATCCGCACTGTGTCACTCTTGATCACACATTCTCTGGTCACATACTGCTCAGCTGGCTTTTTATACCGTTCCCTGTTGCCTGTGTCAACAGCGATGCCCCATGTTACGTCACAGTGGGAAGTGCTGTTCTGTCACCACGGGGTAGAGGGGAAGAGTGTTGACTGGCCTGTTACCGTAACAGTGGCAGTGCTCCAATGCAGTTATACCACTGCTGGCAGGGGACGGGGTGTCCTGCATAGCGGAAATACACCACAATATTTTATTTCTTCTTACATATGATTGATTTTATAAGATTGAACTGTTGAGCCTGATGGTTTTGGGTACAGAAAATACGTTGTGGCTGGGATTAATTATGGAAAGATCAGCATTGTATGCTTTATTGAGAAAGTGGGATAGTTCTAAAAGCCCAGCGTTTGTTCATGCAAATGTTATATAGAAAAGTGTCATAAGCTGAAACTAAGTGCATCATGGTGTGTAATAGCATCTAATGCTACACTGTGAAGGCAGAATCTGTCCTCTGTCCATTCAGCTGTATGGAACGCTTATAATAAGCTGAAAGTATTTAGGTAAACACAACAGCAACAGCAACAACAACAAGAATTGTTTATTTTCAAAGCATGCAGTCATGGCCTTTCTAATCCATCTGATATCTGTATGCCATGCAAGATAGAGGCGTCCATTCCTGAGTTTCCTCAGAGATAAACATTACAGTTCAGCTGTGGGAATTCCAGTATTGTGAGGTGTTAGTGCAGAGTCCTTTAACATTTAATGGAAAATGGAAATGTTGCATATGGCTGTTCTGTCTGCCCTGACGTCTGTGTGCCATGCAAGATGGAGGGGCCCATGCCACTCCTCATAGATGAACTTTAAAATTCAGTTGTGAGAATTCCTTTGTAAGATATCTGCGCGGAGACCTTAAACTTTTAATGGAGAATGTTATTAAGTTATTTTAATTGTATTGTGACAAATATTTAACATGAGTCTGTTGATGTGGTTCAGTCATCACCATCATCATCATCGTTAACCTTTCCAGTATTAGGCATGTTGAGACCTGTTGAGAATATTACAAAACAGAATCCTTCTATTGTTTCAGCAGTCTTCTCAAACTTCTTTTCTCTTTTGGTTGTTGTAAGGCATCATGTCAGGTCTTATCTTATCGATGTGTTCTTTACAATTTCTTCTGTATTGTTCTATAAATTCAGCTATATTTCATTAATTCAATTCCTTTTATGGTTTGAAAAGGAATATCTAGCTGTCCTCATTTGAAGTTGTTGAGACGATGGAAGCAGTATAAATAAATCACGTTGTCAGTTCAAGTTACCAGTTTAATCACAGTAATAATTATAGAGAAAATCACAAAGAACGAGACAGGGTAATGTCCCTTTTTATCACAAGAAGGTTGAACACACAAACTCTCAGGCAGCGTCAGACTCTCACTTCAATCACTACTGTCACTAATTCACAGCACTCTTCTTTTTGGAAGACTGTCGGAACAAAAAAAAACAAAAGAATGGAAAAGAGCGCCCTCTACACAATATGGAGATATAAGGCGCAAACATTCAGACGATAACAAAATTAATACAAAAGTGATTTTTGATTGTTATTAATACTATAACAGAAGTGTATATCAGCTGATATCAGTATTTACTTGTCAGTTCACATTGGCTGTGATTATCTGCCGCATGGTAATGTTGGTCCAGCAGATATCTTTAAATTTGTGTTATTATGTGCCTAGAAAGCACAGTATTAATTTGTTCCACCGTCCATTAACAAATATTATTATATCAGGTCTCATAAAAGGTGGTACATTATAAATTCTGACATGGTAGATGAGCCTTTGACATTGAATTGAACGATGAAGATTTGAATAATTTTGTGTCGAGCATGTCTGAGAGAAGTTTTGCTGTCACTGTTTCTTCTGACAGGTTGCATGTTGGTTTCCGCTACAGTTCAGTTAAGGTTTGCAGTAACAGTGTTATAAACTGCTTGGTGGGTGCGCTTTTAGATGGGGTTGGTTACGGATGATCTTACTGCCCAGATGCCTGTCAAGGAAGAGTTGGATCGTGCTGTTCCACCCCATGAATTGCTGGATGTATCAGCCTCCAAAGCCAAGGCAGAGTTAGCGACACGAGGAGGCCTTGCAGGCAGACAGCTCCCAACTAGCAAGAAGGGCTCAGGAGGGCTTAGCTCAAGTAGTTCTGTAAGCCTTCCTCTTTTCCTACTTTCATGAGAGAAATATTCTTATTAATAATAGAAAGTTGTATCACTTACATCATCTGTTACTTTCCAATGATTGTACATGATGATTTATAAGGAAAAAGGACAGTTATTGCATTTTTGGGTGTTACCCCATTATCCTGTATTTTATTTAAAAGAACGTTTCGGAGAATGGATTATATCTCTGTCCACTTTTAAAAACCTACTGAGTTGGGCGTAGGGACTAGTTCTGTCAGTTGAGTGCAACTGAGTGGGTTTTTACCTGAGGAGGGAAAACAGTCCAGTCTCTGAAACGTTTATTTAAATAAAAAACAGGATGACGGATGTCCAAGAACATAATAATTTTATTAATATACCATCATCACAAAGTTTTATTAGGAAAAGTAAGTTGATTTGAATTTGGCAAATGTCTTCTTGAACATGCGAATACCTGGGAAGCACATAAATTTGTTTATTTTGCACAGTGTTACTATTTTTGGTTCCTTGTTCATAATAAAACCAAAACAAACTTTCCCTTAAAGCCTCTCTGTGTGTATGCTTGCTTGCAAATATGCTTTTTACTCTACTCTATTTTATCAGAACAGAAACGTGTAGACTAACAAGAAACATCTGTGTAGTGTGGATACAGATTGTAGATAACATATCTGATTTGCTAGGACTATGGGCTGGATGAGAGCTGTGATAATTCTGGTGATGAAGAAGAACAGGATAGGCAACATCTATATATTGAATATGCGGGACGTGAAGAAACAAGCACTGAACCTCGGACACCAACTCTCAATGCCCAGAATCAACAGCAACATCAGCATCATCAAACTGCCAACCGTCCAACATCCCTGTCCCCTTCCTCGTCACTATATAATAACGTAACAGCCGTGTCATCCAGTGTTAGTACATCTCATGTCCACAGTCTTGTATCCCAGTTCTCATCGACTCATCAGCAGCAACATTACAGTACATCTTCCCCACATGTGACCTCCCAACAGGCAGTTTCAAAAATGCAGCATCAGCAGCACCACATGCACTTCCAGACAGCGACGTCACCGTCTTCTTTACATTCCCCTTCCAGTGCAACTGTTCTACCTCACACGACTGCAACTGCCCTCTATAGTCATGTTACCCATATGCCGACATCTCAACCATTGCACCATTATCACCCTCATCAACAAACTCCATCAACCCATCCACATGGTATTGCTCAGTCACACCATGCTATGACAGGTGTTACATCACCACATCAGCCCAGCCCTGATCCTTGGATTGGTCGAAACAAGGGGCCCACACCCACGTATCCAATTGGACCTCCTCGAGGTCTTGCTGGACCCCCGGCATCTTTAGCAGAGCAGCTGAAACAGGTGCTTGCAGAGAGAGAACGTAGGATATCGGGAGACCAGGCCTCTTCTCGGGAAGGCTCTGGGGATTTTACGGAGATGAACAAGGGAGTGTCTCAAACTTTGGCAGAAGAGATACGACAGGCTGTGAATGAAGCTAATGCTCGAGGTAAGTTGCATTGTGTAATTATGAAATCCTGCAGATATTGCCTTCAAGAAGTGGTCTCCTTTTTAGAGTATATTGTTGATATCTTAGTAAGAGACATCTCAACCATGGCATCTCTCAGGCAGTTAGTCACTGGCTTCGCACTGCTGCAGCCTGGGTTCAGTCCCAGGTCAGGTCATGGTGGGATTTATGGTGAACTGAGTCAGGTTTTCTCCTAGTACTTCAGTTTCCCCTCCCAATTCTCACTCTGCCAAATACTCTGTACTCATCCATCATCCAGGGCTGGAGCAATAGACAAATTAGTGGCTAATGTACCAAGTTGACTCAGTCTCACCGCACCCCTTATAAAAGGAAACATTTCAGTTTCTTGCATTGCTTGCTACTTAAGTGGATAGTAATTCCGATCAGGTGTAACCAGTTTAATAAAAAATGTGTAAATACACCTTTATGTATTCTGGCCGACATTGGCCATCATCATCATACTGTTCTCCATTGCTATGGGGATGTGCTTTACATGCATACTGTATGTATGTCTCTATATACAGATTTTACCTATAAAAATTATGATTAGATATAGATATTATATACTTATGTCAAGTTTGTTATTAAAATTAATGTATTAATACCGTTTGAAATGGTTAAAAATTGCAATGAAATTGATAATGTTTTCTTTTCCACTATTGATATGTAAAGCATTCTGTATGTTCACCTGTTGGATGTCCTTTATATGCTCAGTGAATGTTGTTGTGGTATGCAAGGTGTACTGTGGTGAACAGTGTTTATTTTAAAAATTAATTTGATGTTATTAATTATTAAACTATTTCTTCATGTAGGAACAGTTCTCTTATTTCATGTAATTAATTATATTTAAATTAAATTAATATTATCATATAACTGTATATATTTATGTAGAATTTCTGTAATTTTGCATAAAAGAATTATTTGATCGTAATTATATATGGTAAGGCTTAGAAGATACTGAAAGTTTTTTATGTAATTGTAACCTCTAATTAAGGAAAACCTCAGTTCATTGTAGTAAGAGCCATTCCCTTAGAAAAATATTAAATAGGGATTTCATTGTATTTGTTTTGTGTGTTGCAGTGAAGAAAGTGCCAATAAGCTCAACTTTATCTCCACCCAGCATGCAGACACCCTGGCAACCGCAGAGCTCTCTGTTGCAAGATATGGCTCCTCCTTCCCCATCCTCCATTTCATCCTCAGGTAGCATCTCTCCAGGAGTACACACAGCTGATCCAAGCCCCAGCAAACCTGGTGCTTTAGGTTAGTTGATGTATCAAAAGGTCTGATGTAAAAGCCTTGTTTTAACATTGTCTCCTGGTAAGAATTAACAACAAAAGAAAGAGAGGGCAGGAAATAAAAGCAAACTGAATGTGTTGAACTTCTTTGTAACAGAAATCTCTCTCCTTCCAAATGTATTTTTCATTCTTTGTACTAATTTTCATACATAGATTTAATTGTAATTAATTCTGATACTTGAAATGAATGATGTAAAAATTAATTTACCCAACTACTGCATCTACAAAATCAGTATAGTAAAATAAAAATAAATTGTCACATAGTTCTCTATCAGTGGATTGGTTGGTAAAGTTGAGAAGATAGCAAGAAAACCATGGGTTACACAGGAGATGATGAGTAAAATGGAGGAGCAAGGATATGGAAGAATGTCAACAATGAAGAAGGCAGGAGGAAATACAGGAGACTAAGGAATGAATTGAAAAGAGCCACGGACAGGGCCAAAAAGGAATATCTTGAGAAGATATGTAATGAGATTATAGAATTTCAAAGAACAGGACGTTATGATTTGATGTACATGAAGACAAAAGAACTAGGATGGAAAGAGAATCATGGGATTCAAAATATTGGCATCGAAGGCTCCCAGGGGAATAGAATAGTAGATCAGAGGCAAGTGCTGAAAATTTGGGAAAATTATGTTACAGAACTATATAATCGACCCAATCCGCCAGAAATCTTAGAAGTTGAACCGGAAGGAGAAGTAGATACAGACGAGAAAGGACGATATATTTTACAAAGTGAGGTGGAAAAAGCTATCAAGGAAATGAGGAAGGGAAAGGCTACAGGAGATGATGATGTACCTGGAGATGTGCTCAAGTTACTGGGAGAAGGTGGTTTGAAAACACTGACAAAACTAATGAACACCATATATGAAAGTGGAGAGTGGCCCAAGGACTTTACAGAAGTTACAATGATTGCCTTAAAGAAAAAGACAAAAGCTACAAAATGCAGCGACCATCGCACAATAAGCCTTATTGCACATACAGCAAAGATAATAGCAAAGATACTTAAAAGAAGAATTGAAAGGAAAATAGAGGATGTACTTGGAGAAGATCAGTTTGGATTTAGAAGAGGAAAAGGAACCAGGGATGCAATTGGGATGATGAGAATTATAGCGGAACGAACTTTGGAGATAGATGAAGAACTGTGTGTTTGCTTCATAGACTGGCAGAAGGCATTTGACCGGGTAAACTGGACCAAATTAATGCAGATCCTGAAAGAAACAGGTATCGATTGGCATGAAAGAAGATTGATTAGCAAATTGTACATGGATCAGAAAGTTAGAGTACGACTGGACAGGGGGGAGACAGGAAGTGTGCAGATTGGAAGAGGAGTTCGACAAGGATGCTGTTTATCACCAATTCTGTTCAACTTGTACAGCGAATGCCTTACCAAGGAAGCTCTGGATGGGCTCGGTGACTTCAAAGTAGGAGGGCAAATTATTCAAACTGTGAAATATGCAGATGACCTTGTGTTAATGGCTAAGGAAGAAACTGTGCTACAGGGCATGATTGATAGACTAATTGAAATTGGAAGGTGCTATGGCATGGAAATGAATGTGGAGAAAACAAAAGTAATGAAAATTTCGAGACAACCAACCCCAGTCACAATAAAGATAGACCAAAAACAAGTGGAGAATGTGAAATGTTTTAAATATTTGGGTAGCTTGTTAACAGATGATGGAAGGTGTACTTGTGAAATTAAATCCAGGATTGCCATGGCAAAAGCTGCATTTAGCAAGAAGAAGAATCTTTTTACCAGCAAATTGGACTTAAATTTGAGGAAGAAACTAGTGAAATGCTACATTTGGAGCATAGCTCTGTATGGGGCTGAAACATGGACACTTAGGGCAGTAGATCAGAAACATCTGGAAAGTTTCGAAATGTGGTGTTGGAGAAGAATGGAGAAGATCAGTTGGACCGATTATGTGAGAAATGAAGAAGTGTTAATTAGAGTCAGTGAGCAGAGGAATATCCTACATGAAATAAGAAAACGGAAGGCTAATTGGATTGGTCATGTTTTACGCAGAAACTGCCTTCTAAAAGAAGCTATCGAAGGAAAGATAGATGGGCGGATAGAAGTGACAAGAAGACGAGGAAGAAGACGTAAGAAGATGCTGGATGACCTTGGGGACAGAAGAGGATACTGTCATTTGAAGGAGAAAGCTCTAGATCGCATTAAGTGGAGGAATTGTTTTGGAAGAGACTGTGGACCTGTCGTCTGACAGATTACTAATGATGATGATGATAGTTCTCTGATGTTAACGATAAGAAACATCTTTGTAGAGCTACATTTACTTACATCAATTCCCAGCACATTTGTACTAGTGATATTATTAATACTCAATTTTTTTAAATATTTATTACCTGTTATGGCCCTGGGGTTCACTCAGCCTCTAACAGAAATGAGTACCAGGAATTAAATAAATAATTTACCTGGGGAGTAAAGCACGACCAGCATGTAAGGCTGACAACCTTACTGCCATCTTTGAACCGATTATCTAGATA